CCATCTTTCTTGAGAGACAATGGAGTGCAGCTCCAAGGGTGAAGTCAAACTGCTGGAGAATCACAGCACCTGCTGTGGCTGCAGAGATCTGTAACTCACAACTGCTGCCTCCCATGTTGTTTTTGCTGTGTTAGCCACTCCGAAGTGACTTCTCTGGAGGGCAAGGCTGGGCAGTGTGTATGGTGGTCCTGGGCTATGCAGATGACAAGACCCCTTCACAGTTGTGCTGATGTGGTCCAAAGGAAAGCAGAGCAAAACATTTGGCACCAGCTTGGCTGCAGGAGTTGCTGGAAGGTGGCATACAAGATGCCATCTAACCATCTGTTGCTGGACTACAACTCCCATCATCCCTAGCTAGCAGGCATAGGGGCTAGGGATTATGGGCGTTGTAGTCCAACAGCAGCAGGGAACCCAAGTTTAAGAAACACTGGGCCTAGACAAGCTAAGACCGGAGCTGGACAGCAGCAGTCATTAGGCCATAAGCCTCACTAAACCCAGTGGGGCCTGTCTTTTAGCAAACTCACAAGCATTTTGCAAGGGAATCATTTTTCATTTGTATTTATTTATTTGTGGCTGAAAGACTCAGACTACGGGTTATGTAACAAAAACAAAGAAATGCATAAAAAGTAACTTCTGAAATTAACTAACACACATTTAAAATCCAACATTGGCACACATCCAACCTATACTCTTAAAGCACTCTTATACCATACTAAGCTCTTGAGGACATTGTGTTACGGAGACTCCTAGTAAAGCAGTATATCGGAAGTTCAAGTTGTTTCACAAACTTCCAAATGGCTATAAGCAAAATAAATAAATAAAGTGTAAAACCTAAGGTGTGATTTTGCAGCATGCCAAGTAGAAGCTATAAAGAAGATAAAACATAAATAGCACTGTAACTCACTTCCAGTCCAAGAAAGATTGAAGTATATGATGCCTTTCCCCCCTTACTTGTTTACTCTTCTTAAAAATCATAAACATTCAATTTGTGTACAGCATCTACTTTGGGACGGTGCCTTGGCTACGGCTTCTTTTAACTACAGCTACAAATCTGTCTATAACAATGGCTATGTGTATCTTTTTTTAAAGTGTACCTTGCAACACTGCAGATAAAAGTAGCCTTTAGGATGCAATCCTATCTACACTTACAGTAAATCCCTTTCAACCCCGGTAGGACTTTGCTTCTAAGTAACATGCAAAGGATTGTGGCTGCCGGTGAGTTACAGCAGGCACTGCCAGCTGACCCGGGAAGGGAAGAATGCATGGATCATGCCATGCATCTACACTTTGCAAGCTGCCTTGAACATTTCCTGATGGAAATGCAGGGGGAGGCTTTTAATAGTTTATTAAATACCATTAGCTGAATATGAAATAATATTAATGCAATTGCCTTTCAGTTATAACAGCAAAGGCAATAGGATATTTCCCTGATCCTTGGAGAGGTTGTGGGATCCCCTCCCCCCAAAGGCCACACTGGAAAGAATTCAGCTCCTTTCCCCTTCCTCACCCAGATAAAACAGTGAGGCCAAGGCTCCTACCCACCTGTGGCTACCCTATCTTCCCCCTCTTTCTCCCACCCCCGGGTACTTTCTCTTCCTTACAGAACAGTAAGCATCAGGTTGGAGAGACATCTCTGACCCTACCATATGGATTTCAATCTCTGGATCAGTTTGATGTATGATCCCATTCTAATACCTGCCTTCGTATCCCTCTCCCTTTAAATTGAGGGTGGGTTGTGTGGGTGGGAATGCCTTGTTAAACTCATGAGGATCTGCACCTAGGATCAATGTTTTTAGTGCCATGGTGGCACTGACAACAGCTAGATATGCGATTTCCCCTCCACACAGTTCGTGGATTCAAGATTTCTACAAGGCAGGTCCTCCAAAGCACAGATCACATTTGCGGCCCCATATGTGTAATGTGGTTTTGGAGGAGGGGGAATTCTGTGCAAAAACCATTATGATCCCTTGCGCACAGGAAGGAAGACCTCTTTTAAGCTGCATGCATAACATACGTACATAGAGAACACATTTAAGGCACCCTCTCCCCACCCCCCGGGGAACTACAGTTTGTTAAGGGAATTAAAGCTTTGCGAAGGTAAACTCTCCGGATTCTTGGGGGGGGGGGCTGAATGTGTTTTAAATGTACGTATGTACACAGCCTAAGATTAGGACTGCCCCATCACACAGCTGCTACTAAACAGAAGACAACCTGCTGTAAAGTAGGGCATGACCATCCTATGCATTCCATATAGGGCTGGGGGAAGGAAGTACCCATGACAGTGTCTTGTTCCCAGTTGATTAACAATTGGGTTTGTTTTTGTTTTGTTTTGTTTTGTTTTGTTTGTAGTATTTATATCCCGCCTTCCTCCCAAGGAACTCTAAGTGGCATTCATAGTTCTCTTCCACCCTATTTTATTCTCACAACAACCCTGTGAGGTAGGTTAGGCTGAGAGACAGTGACTGGCCCAAGTTCGCCCAGTGAACTTCGCTGCTTAGTGTGGATTTGAACCCAGGTGTCCCAGGTCCTTTTTCAACCCTCTAAACACTACACCATACTGGACTTAGTATACAATAACTGATCAGTAGCATGCAGCTCATGTATTTCTCTACGGTTTCTTTAAATAGATGACACCCTTGTCTCCCAATGATTCCCTGGCATCGAAAGATTCCAGTGTGAATTTTAGCTCCCAGTTCCTGGCAGACAAACAAAGGGAACATCCGCATAGTGGTCTGACAGCCTGCAGTAAGAAAGATCAAGGCAACGACCGGACTTTGAAATAGGTCAGATTCCCCTTGCTCCGCCGCCACCGCTCTTCTGAACAGCAGATGCCACAGTGCCCTGATCCAGCAAAACGAAGCCCAGAGCAAACCCTTGCAGCAAGCTTCATGTTTCTGTTAAAACTTAACACAGCTTTGAAATGGAGATGATCAAAAGTGTTGAGTTACATAGCCCTCTAGTGGCCACACTAATTCCACTGTGCTTGAGCAGTGTGTGTGTGTTGATATTGATTTGATGGGGGGGGCGGGGGAAGCAAGCTATATGAAGGCTAGACACTGAAGCAAAGTTTATGTTACTGGCAAAGACACAATAAGAAGAGGAGTTTGGATTTGATATCCTGCTTTATCACTACCTTAAGAAGTCTCAAAGCAGCTAACATTCTCCTTTCCCCTCCTCCCCCACAACAAACACTCTGTGAGGTGAGTGAGGCTGAGAGACTTGAGAGAAATGTGACTAGCCCAAGGTCACCCAGCAGCTGCATGTGGAGGAGCGGGGATGCGAACCCAGTTCACCAGATTACAAGTCCACTGCTCTTAACGGTAACAAAATATAGGGCACGATGCAAGGTTACTTAATTATACAATATGCAGGAATCACATTTTATGTAAATGATGTGTACATGACTTGGAGTATGGAAGACAAATTGAGAAGATATGGGGGAAATTCTAGGAGAGGGAAACAACAGTGACCTTACTGTGGGTGTCTGTTATAGACATCCAAACCAGACTGAAGACTTGGATGATGTCTCCCTAGAACAGATTACCAAACATTCAAAAAGGAGAACTGTAGTTGTAGTCATGGGAGACTTCAACTTCCTCAGTATCTGTTGGAACTCAAACTCTGCCAAGAATTTAAGGTCCAACAAAATTCTCCATTACCTCACTGATAATTTGATTTCCCAGAAGGCAGAAGCAGCAACTAGGGGGTCATCTAGTCCTCATTCAGGAGGACTTGTAGACTCTCCTTCACTGGAGTTTTTAAAGCAGAGGTTGGATGGCCCTCTGTCGTGTATGATTTAGCTGAGATTCCTGCATTTCAGGGGTTGGACTAGATGGCCCCTAGGGATGCCTTCCAACTCTACCATTCTGTAATTCTGACAAATTTCCTTTTTTGTTTAATGATCGTTAAAACATGTGAAGCAAAAAAAAAAAGTGTACAGTATTCACATTTTGGGTTTCAGCTTAGAGTTTCCTATCCTATTTTAATTGCTTTGCCTCCTTGGAGAATTGCCTGTTAATTAACGGTAGATATTTAATTTTCTCCCCACAACCATAATTTAACTGCTTCTTTTCTTGAATCCTCTGTGACCTCTTCCTTACCAACAGAAGTCCTAAAATAACTGGTGATTGGTAACAGGCAAACTGATCCTACACACCAGTTATATATGGGACAGAGATGTACCAACACTGTGCTAGTGGAGCAGGTTATATACCATATCCGTCTGTGAGGCAACAGGAACAGTACAGAACCAACAAACACAGGGATATAGCAGTTCAGGGTTGGAGGGGGAGGGGGTTGATGACCCATTACTATTCCTTCAGCAGGTTCCCTGTCTCCAGTGTTTTAGAACCATCCAGTCAGCACAAAAGGGAAGCATTTTAGCCAGTGTTCCTAAACGCTCCAAAGGCAAGCGTTTAGGAACACTGAAAACATAAGGCAAGTCCATTTCAAGAGAATGGGGTGCAAATTCTGGTACATCCATCAAACTCCCTGCCTGCTCCTCCTCCTCCTCTCTCTCTCTCTCTCTCTCTTTCTCTCTCTCTATATATATATTACTGTGGTACCTTGAGTTACAGACACTTCAGGTTACAGACGCTTCAGGTTACAGACTCCGCTAACCCAAAAATAGTACCTTGGGTTAAGAACTTTGCTTCAAGATGAGAACAGAAATTGCACTGTGGTGGCGCGGCAGCAGTGGGGGCCCCATTAGCTAAAGTGGTGCCTCAGGTTAAGAACAGTTTCAGGTTAAGAATGGACCTCCAGAATGAATTAAGTTCTTAACCCGAGGTACCAGTGTGTGTGTGTGTGTGTGTGTGTGTGTGTGTGTGTGATGTATGTTTTCTCAACTCCAGCTAGATGTTTTTTCTTTGGAGAAACTATACCATGTGTCTGATGACAGAAGAAAACATTAACTCTCTGTGTGAAACAATTTATTTTAAAAAGGAAGGACACAGTATGAAAGTACAAAAATTACAGTGGCAGGCTTGCCATATTACTTTGGGGCTGATGTACATAAACATACTCATGCTGATGGTGTGCCAGTGTTGAATAATTCTCAAATCTTAAAGGTACTAAAGTCCTCAGGGCCTCTAAGTGTTGATTGTAAGGAGCTCCTATTATCTAAAATTCATATTACGATGCAAAGTAATAAAGAGAGAAATGCACCACAGGACAGAATATTTGCTGGGCTAAATACCTAGGGATCATGTAATGTGTACACAATTAGGCTACTGAGCTTTCTTAAATATATACAATACATTAAATATTAGTCCCCCGTACCTGTTTTCTGCTATGTGAACATAATTTAAAGTTTGCTGATATACTCAAATTATCACGCTCTATGTTGCAACACTTTCCTGCGCCTCAGAGGCAGTGTGTATCCATGAAAACTAATGTCAATCTCCTGCTATGATAAACAAGATATATAACATTTTAATCACAAAAGATCCACTAATACGTTTGCTTCCAGTTCTTAATGTTTATAAGCTTCCCCCGTTTGTGCCCCTCTCTTCTCCAGTATTGAGCAAGTTCTCTTCACAACAGAGAACTGATTCTGCTTGCTCAGTACCTAACCAAACACAAACTAAAATGGTGTCTACTATTTTGACTGGCATTAGGAATTTACGACAAACATACTCAAATCATTTCCAAACATAACCCTTCCATCCTTCTTGGTGCTGCATTCTGGCTGGCCCAAAGCCTGTAGAAGACTCTGCTTCAGATCCTGGGGTGCTGAATTCATAAAGTCTTTAGTTCCTGTCAGAAAGTCCATTGTTTGACCTCCAGTGGTATCTCCTTCAATAAAGCATTCAGTTATATCCCAATAAGAAGGGAAATTGTATACTTGGTATGTAACTCCCATTCCTTCCAAGACAACTTTGATGTCATCAGCTGTGATGTAGTGGCCGCTGTCAGTTGGGGGAAGACAGTGTCTGTAATTTTTCCATATGGAGGCCCACCCACTCTTACCTATGGGAAGGGAATTGTGAGTTTCACTGAGCCATTGTGCAGAATTAAGGCGACATAAACCAAAGCTAATATTGTAGGCACACTTACTACGTAGAAATCACACCCACACACCCTGTATATGAGTATACTGTAGTTGATAAATAGTAATTTTCCTTGATAAGTTGTAGAATCTCTTGATCAAGAGCCTCCAACACCACATCTACTGTCTAAAAAAATAAATAAATGGGCAAGCCCCCATTTCACGCATTAGACCTGAGGTCTGATCTTATGTGGGTGGGCAAAGCCTGAAAGAGAGAGGAGGCAAAGCTGAAATGAGAAATAAAACTAAGAGATAGAGCAGTGGAAGATGGGTTAGGAAGCCCTCTGCAAGCAAACAATTCAGATATCTCACAACAGCAATCTGCTCCTTCCCTGGCAGCCTTCTGGACAGGAAGGGAAAGGGAGGCAGATACAGATAAAGGTAAAGGTAAAGGGACCCCTGACCATTAGGTCCAGTCATGACCAACTCTGGGGTTGCGGTGCTCATCTTGCTTTATTGGCGGAGGGAGCCGGTGTACAGCTTCCGGGTCATGTGGCCAGCATGACTAAGCCGCTTCTGGCGAACCAGAGCACCACACGGAAACGCCGTTTACCTTCCCACCAAAGCGGTACTTATTTATCTACTTGCACTTTGATGTGCTTTCAAACTGCTAGGTTGGCAGGAGCAGGGACCGAGCAACGGGAGCTCACCCCGTCGCGGGGATTCGAACTGCTGACCTTCTGATCGGCAAGCCCTAGGCTCTGTGGTTTAACCCACAGCGCCACCCACGTCCCTTATATACAGAACAGAGGATGGCAAATAAGGAGAAGTCTGACTGTATAGGGCACTTGCCTCGGTTTCTATGAACATGCTTAGAAACCCCCTTCTGCCCATCTTGCTCAATGTGGAAAGGTCAAGGGTGAGCATGGAGTGCACAGGGATGGGCGCATTGAAGGCAGGCAGGCAGGCTGACACACACCCACACAGCACTGTTCACATTGGCAGTCCCTGGCTGGTGCCTGAATTGGGTCCCCATTAATTCCAGGAGAATCTTACTCAAATTGGGGAATCAGTACTTCAAAAACAAAAACAATAAAACCACTCACCTGATAAGATTATAATCAGAAGCTTAGCATAACAATCTAGGCAGCTGTGAAAAAATCGGATAGTGCTTGCAATATCCTCCACACGGTACAGCATCTAAAAGGTATAATGCCAGAAACATTTTGTTGTTGATATATCATTATAAACTTCATAGAGGGCTTCTGCATATGAAAACTAATAAATGCCCCATTGTTTTTATTCTCCATATTAAAAAAACACATTAATTCTAATTTTACAGATTGGGACATTACAAGGTTGCATCTGTATGGGCAGTCCCATGGGAAGGAGAGTGATCCCCTTCTTTCCTTAACCCTCGCTTTTTTGTCAGATTTTACTTGCACAAAAAGTGGTTTTAGTCTGCATCCCAGACATGTATTGCTGCTCACACAAAACTAAGCAAATCCTTTGTAAAGGCTAAAGTATAATTTGGCAGGAATTATCAACATCACATCCATTTCCTTTCCATTCTGATGAACTGGTGAAATATGGCCTGTCATATACCAGGACACCTAAGTGTTGTTGATTATATTGAAGAAAGAATGTGAGCTAACACAAAAACAGAGAATGTCATATGATAGGTCCTTAATTTACCTGGATCAGGTGTATGAAGTCGTATTTCTTTTGAATGTTCTGCTCTTTTGCCTGCTTCTCATATTCCATGGATGTCAACTGGTGCCAGCTGAATGAGACATTCTTTAGGTCAGTTGAATTTCTTACAGCCTCTGTTTATGAAATAATCGATAAAGTGAACTTCATGTGGATCAAAACATGAGCTCAGTTATCCTGATAGAGAAAGAATACAATGCTGTACCTTTATACGCCAAAATGTGTTGAGGGTTGGGCTCTATGACTTCATTTTTGATAAAGATTCCTGGATGCACAGCCTGAATTATCCTAATCATTTTCAAGTCTTGCTCACCTATAAGATAAGTTCAAAGCAAATTCATTCATTAAAATCAGTCGATCCTTAAGGTTGAAATCATGTGCATATTTATCTAGAATTTATTTCCATTGAACTCAGTGTGGCTGATCTCAAAGTAAACATGCTGAGGATCATGCTGTATTTCAGGTATACCTCAGAGAAGCTTCAGATGCTTTAAACAAGTGCTACTAGCCATTTCCCCAGCACTGGCATAGGAAGCTGCCTGATTGTGACTCGGACTGTTTGTCCATTTAGCCCAGTATTGTTGACATTGATGGACAATGGCCCTTCAACGATCTTCCCTAGCCCTACCCAGAGATGCCAGGGATCAATCGTGGGCCCTTCTGCTTGGAAAACAGGGGCTTTAACTATTGAGCTACACCCATTCCTTCTATAGTCTATGCAAAAAAAAAAAAAAAATCCTACAAAAAATTCCTCTCAGACATTATACAGAAACAGTACCAGACACTGAAGCCTTATGACACTTGGAACTGTACTCCAAGTGGAATAATGGACGCTGAAAGGAAATAATCCAACTTCATTGCACTTATATAAATCCAGATTCAGGAAAATGTGCACAGGGAATGAGCCACATATTATTTATAATTTTGACCAATGGATGCCTTAGCCTGAAAGCAAAATAGGCTGTGTGTCTATATTAAAAGAAAGGGAAAAACCAACAACAAAGCATTGGCAGCTGCCACCGTGAGTGTCCCACTCAAAGCAGATACATAACTGAATTATTTTTTTTAGATTTTTGTTCCTTACCTGTGCCACTTCCCACACCTAGCACATTGATAGTAGATTTTCCATTTCCAAGGCTAAAAGGATAAGCATTTATTATATAGCATTAAAATACAGGAGTTTTGATATTTATTTAGGGTTGCTATATTTCAAAAAGTAAAAACTGGGACACCCCAAAAGTTTACAAAAATGAAAAAAAAAAGAACACCCCATGATTTTTCTATTGACTTGCCTAAGATCCAGGGCAAAGCGCCACCTTTCAGAAATTCCCCCCACATGTCAATTCCACCTTTGAAATCGCAGTTTCAACTGGGAAAATCCGGACGTATGGCAGCCCTACATTTATTTTGCTAAACCGTGTTCTACTGTCACTAATGCCTTGCCAAAACTTTCTCACAGCAAAATGTGGTTTGAGCAATATATATCACAATATATGCTTCCCCCCGCTTCCATAGATATTTCTAGAAGGTTTGTGTTCCAGTCATTTTTGTCCAATAAATGCATGTGTACACACCAATGACCATAATGAACTCAGGCTAGCATTTCTGTGCCATATAACAGTACAGTTCTTGAGCACTAGAGTCACTAGATCAAACTGCCCTGAATTAAGCAACATCAGTGATGCTCTGTGAAGCTGCAACAGTTTAAATTAAGATTGATTGCCTTAAATTAAGAGTGTTCCATCTAAATAATGTAACTTGGGGAAGCCAAATGGGCAAATAATGCACAAAACAAAGGAGTTCCCATCTAGAGTTCCCATATGGAGTTTCATCAAGAGTTGGATCACAGTCCTTTGCACTTAAGTAAGAGTAAACCCTACTGAACTCAGGATTGGTTGCAAGGCATCCCATGAGATTTGTTTGCACGTTGCACGTCCATTATCATAGAATGGACATAAATGAAATGGACATAAATGAAAAATAAATAAATATTCCTTGAGACCTTTAGAGAAGGATGAGCATTAGAGTGCAGGAAGCTACAGACATTTGACCATTTCCCAAAATTCATATTTTTAAGCATTCTCATTTTTTTTTCTTACCTGGCTATTATACCTGGCAGCTCCTCCTTATTGAACTGGCCCATGCATTGGTGCTCAGTTGAATGGTCTAAGAATGACTTAAAGGCTTTTGCGTATTCATCCACTGTAAGGCTTCTCATGGGCTGGGTCACACAAAGCTCTTTGGAATGTAAAGCCAAATTGGTGTTTGTTAAGAGCTGGAAATAAATGCCACTGTACCTCATAGAAAACTTCAGAGGTGCATTGAATAGCAATAGTAAATAACTTCATTGCACCAAAGATTAGTTTATGACAGATTCCACTGAAAGCAATGAAATAAGACTATGCTGTGCTCATACACTACGGTATAGTGTATAGTGGCTATACATTTAACATACATGACTCATCCTCAAAGAATGTGAGAGGTATGACACAAGTAGGGGGGAGAGAATTAAGGCCACTAAAGGACATAATCTTTTGATATGCCTTTTATGAAGCTTGCCAACCATAATCTTGATCCAGAGCACATTCAGAGCTCTTGGACAACTGTCCCATTCACTTCACTGGAGCCAGCAGATTGGGGCACACAAAGGAACACTCATATAAGCATCTTGCTTCCATTGAAATGAATGAAGAAACCTTTGCAGATACGGGAGTGTCAATAAAATGCTAGATCAGGATCTCCATCTTTGGCAGACTGCTAACACATGTGATTTTCCATGTCTTACCACCTGCCCCTGTTAGACCAAGACTTGGGTGTCTTTAAAGATGTACATCTGACAGCAAATGTATACTCAGCTGACATTTCATAGAACATGTAGCTTTATTTAGCCAATGGTGCCTAGCAACTGACAAATTCTGAATGCTTTACTTGGGAGTTATACTGGTTGGATGGGTAGAGGAGTGCTCCCAATTCCCCCTACCAATCACAATTCTAGTTGGGGCCAATGGCCAACATAATGGCATTCTTACACTAGCATAAATTTTAGCAGGAAATTTGCTGTCATAAAAAGGGCAGAGATGGGGGCACAGTATGTAAGCAGCAGGGACTTGGCTAATACAGCCTTACCTAAAGTTATGCAGCAGAATAGCTGCTGTAACTAAATATGTAGCTGTTGATGAACTCGAGATTGCTGCCAAACATATAATCCACCCAGCCTCCCGGGGGCACGTAGATAGTAAGGATTCTGTCTCTGTAGCTAATCATGACACAGCATCAGGACTGTACAATTGTGACTCCTCTGAAGACATCCATGATTGGACAGGAATATAGGGGATTAGGTGGTCCTTAAGGTATCCTGGACCTAGATTGTTATGGGTCATGTAAATTAATCCAAGAACCTTGAACCTGGCTAGGTAGTGCATTGAAGCCACTGCAACTCTTGAGCACCAAAGATATGTACTGGCAATAATCTGTCTCCAACAATAGTCACGTCATAGTGTTTTGCACCAGATGGAGCCCCAAGACCAGGCACACACACATAAAGTGTATTGCATTGTTAGAGTCTTGAGGTTACCAACACATAGATCACCATGTCAAGACTATCCCTGTCCAAGAACAATCATAGTTGACATACAAGCCATAGCTGTTAAAAAAAGTACTCATGGGATGGTGAACTTTCCTCTACCTTTGTTTTTTCATGATGCTCCACATAGCATGGGGGACAAGGGCCCAGCACAACATTGTACCAGAGCTGAGAGCTTGTGTGGTCTTACTGCTGGAGTACCAGCTAATGGGAGGTCCCAAGAGCTCAAAGCCTTCTTGATTTTACCTTCCTCCATTACTCTTGGTTCAATGAAAGGATCAGTGTTGCTGCCATGGTGTATGACAACTAAATTGACCAGGGGTTGGGGAGGAGGCAGGAATTGCTAGATGGGATGAAAAGGACTGGGCTAATGAAAAACATCCTGTATGAATGAGTCAGATACTTACAGTTTCTATCTGATCATGTGCCAATCATTCTGCCTATTATATGCCACTGTCTCAAGAATGTGCATATATTTTAAGCTCTTCCAAATCTCATGTTCTCAAGGCAAGGAATGGGGAACTGGTGGCCTTCCAGACGTTGCTGCACTACAACTCCCATAATCCCCAACCATTGGCCTTACCATCTGGAACTGAGAAGAGTTATAGCTGGAGACAACAGCATCTGGAGGGTCACAAGTACCCATTCCTCTTCAATACCATAGTTAGGGATCAAACGTCTTGTGTAGGAAGCTTGTGCTGTTCCACTGAAGGCCCTTTTTTGCTACTGGTCTAGTCTAGATGACTGTCATGTTATGGTGTAAATCCCATCATTAACCTCTTTTCTGTTTGATCTTCTGGTTAGATGCTTAGAAGTCCTGTCCTCTGAAATCAAAGATCTCTGCCTTTTCTATCTAAAATAATTGTTGCTAGCAGAATCTACAAAGATGTTCTGTGAATACACACCTATATTCAGTAGGATGCAAACACACCCACACCCACACCCTTCCTACTGGACTACCAACTAATGACCTACTCTTGTAGTATCCACTCTTCTTTGTCTCTGTGGCTGCTCCAGTGCCCTCTTTCAAAATAATATGGTCTCCTCACACAGACACAACTATGTCCAGCTCCAGTCAAATTGCCAGTAATCCATGGTGTGACAGTGGAACATGTACCCTTCTCCAGGTAGCAGATGGGCATGGAGCTGCTGTTGCTTATGGCTTCTCATGCAGGATTTCTAAACCCAGTTAACAAACATTTTATCATCTTCGTCTTATTACTGCATGTTGAGAACACCTCCCATTCTTGCCTTTTTCACTGCTTTTGATTCTGCAACTGAGGCAAAGTAAGATTCCAACTTATGCTGGTGTGAGCTCAGATGTAGAAGCAGTGGTCTTAATTGGACTCTAGGTTTTCCCTGCCTTGCCATGGCACCATTTTGCCAAGTAGCCACAATAATATACCGTATATCTGTCTTGCAACTTGCTAAGCTTCAAAATTACCTGAATTGTTTGCAGATGTCACCAATATCTCTTTCTCAAAATTGGCATCTTGTGTTTTCCTGCAGCAAAGAAAATATGGTATTTATTTAGCAATTTGAGCAATTCCTCACCTGTTCCTATGTCAGCTGGGCAGTAATTTCACAGTTACTCTCCCAACCCCGAGACATGGGCTTTGGTCTCCCTGGCGTACCTTTTTCCATACTCTTCATCATCATCTATGGCTCTAACCACAGGCAGCTTGGCACCATTCATGGAGCAAAATCCATTGGAAAACACGCCATTTTGGAAGCAGCCATCTGCACTTTTGCTTTGCTTTGTTTTGGAGACTCTGCATTGGTGATGATAAAAAATATTGCTTATGGCTAACTGCACCAAAATGACCCAGCCCCTTCCTGGCCTAAGTAGCACAGCCATACATGCCAACCCCCTGGAAGTAACTGATAGCCAATCAGGTTCAAGGAGTCATCACTACAGCACAGCATTGTGTGAGTGCATATTTGTGATGTGTGTCTGTTCCATTCTAGGCCACAATCTTGAAAAGCCACATCTCACTGGCGATATAAGTTTATATATGTGTGTTTGCAACATGCAGGCTTGGTAGCAGTCAGTGAGACATAAAAAATGTACACAGGGAGAATTTGCAGAAGGAATTTATTTCAGCAAAAAAAAAGATTTTAGGTTGAATACAAACGCAGAACTATCTTATGCCAGGTTCCTTTTTTATTGCTTAAGAGCAAAGCTTGGAAATTATTGACTTAGCCTTAGCGGTCTGCATACAGAGCAGCATTATGCCGAGTTAGACCATCATATTAATTAGTTCCCTATTTCTGTGATGCAGTCTATCAAAACACCCACTGAACTCTACTGTTTAATTGCTAAGCAGCACTAAACTTAGTTGTATCTGGGTGAAGTCAGGCCTTTCCTACACCTTATTTGTTTGTTTGTTTTGTCTACCACCCTTCATCCTTAGATCTCAGGGCGGTTCACAGCATCTGTGGCGTTCTTGCTGGAGACAGACAACCAAGTTCTTGTCTAGGTCCCTGATTGATGTGCCCTCTAAGGGTAGGCTTCTACCCCACATACTGTATCTACACAAACTCACAGCACCACCCCCACATCAGTTTGGACTTCATTTGCTTCTCTTGCAGAGGGACACAGAAGTCTTTAGGACACTGAATCCCTGCCACATGATGACACAAAATCCTACACAGTCTTGGACTAGTTTTTGCTTCTTATCATTATCATTTATTAAAATTGCATACTGCCTTTCATCTATACATCCCAGGGTGGTTCACAACACAAAAACACAAGATTAAAAAAAAAAAGACCACTTCATGAGCTGCTCTCCACATTTTAAAACTATAAGGACTAGTAACTAAATTAAATATTTTAAACATTGGGTTTTTATTTGTGGGTGGGGCATATTCAGTGTTGTGTCCCAAACAAATGATAGAGGGGTTTTTTTTTGGGGGGGGGAACCTTGAAGGTCATCTAATCCAAACATGAGCATAAATATTTAAGTTCCTCTGCTCTGATTGAATGGTACTGGAAAAATCACTGTCTCTAAACCTCAGTCTGCAATAATGGTCCTGATAACTTCTCAACATTACAGTAAACTGTAAGAATGGATGTAAATATATATTATACTGTAAAAATGGATGTATATATAATATAAAATCCTTCTGAATAGAGATGTCTATCTTCTTATACAATCAGAGTGGCTCTTCACATCATTCTTACCTTTTCACCTTGGCTTTTGGCTCCATGTCTTCTACAGGCCTTCTCCAGTCTGTGTCTTCTTTAAGGACCCGTTCTTGCTCTCTTTTGGCTTATATACTCCAGATGGAATCCAGTGTGTTGAAGTACAGAAGGCAGGCACAGCTGGTCTTCAGTCTCTACTGGTACTTTCCTATACCCCCCTCATCCATTTCAAAGTGATATGCATTTTGGCTCAGCAGTGCTAAAGGTTAGAGACAGATTTGACTCTTAGTTGATATTTCCATCTGTTACTGTCACTGTATGTCAGTCTCCTGGCCCACTGAGGAGCTTTCTATGACCTGTAGTATCTCAGAATGTCCTTCCTCACACCTGTTATCACCCTCCCCCCAGTTGCTTGAATTAGTATGCTCTAAGAAGATACCTTATCCTGAAGACCATAGATAACATATGAAGTCATAATGTTACCCCTTTAGGGAGTGCACAAGAAACTTGGCATACAAAGTGTATGGGAAAAGGGTGATATTTAAATAGGTCAAGAAGCATGCCCCTTCTCAGTTCAGCAGCTAGCAATGTATAGCTATGAAACATACAATTTGCCATACTAAATTTTACAATATACACAATATTTATTGGCCTCGTTAACACATAGAATAAACCCATAGTTTATTAAACTCTGATTTATTGAACCATGGTTTAGCATCAAGTCTAAAATTGGCTCAATCTATGGTTTGTTTATTGCCAACAAACCATGATCTAAGTCATGGTTGATTGTTAGCTTATGAGCCTTGGTTTGTTTTAACGATGGTTTGGTGTTGCATGTGAACTCAGTGTCCTTCCTTAAAAACAGTTTGCTGGACCACAACATACTACCCCAAACATTCACCAAGTTACAAAGTATGAGACAAGAAGTAGCAAGTATTATGACCAAGTACTTGGTTCCAAAGCTTAGCTTAAGCCAAGAGGCAGTTTCTTTCTGGACAAGTGGACTTTAGAATCTCACCTCTCCTACCCTATTCTGCTCATTTGTCCTTGCTCTCTACCGTATGAACACATGTAACAAAACGCAGAAACATTTTCAAAGAAAAGCAGCTTTGAGGGCTGGGAATCCGGAACACAGAAACAATGATGGGATGGGTGCTTTTTCTGCCTGCAGCTTCTACACTCCAAATCCCTTTCCCGTGATGCGTTTCCCATTGAAGAATTAAAAACATGTGAGACAAACCTTATGCTAGCAATTTCTCCCCAAGCAGGTAAAACTGTTTTATTCACTGACATGAGTGTTAGGCAGCAGTTGGATGGAAGCAGGTTCTGGTATTATGAGGGCTGTAGGAAATTTCTCTCTATCCATTTTCTTTACACGATGCATAAGTTTACAATCTCCATCTTGTAACCTTTCTTGGTAGGGAAGTTGTTCCAATCATCTGATCATGTTTATTATCCTTTCGTTTTCTAGTTCTTTTTGAATTGTGCCAACTGGAACTGTACCCAGTATTCCAAGTGTGGCTTCACAGCAGACTTATAAAGATATTGCAATATAGGCCAATTTAGTTTTGAACATTTCACTACAGATTCCTGACACTCAATTTGCTTTTTCCCAGAGCTGCTAGATTCTGGGTCATGTTTTCACCATGCCTCCAAATCTCTTCCTTGGCCAGTCACTCGTGACACTCCTGGAAAAAGCCCAGGAGTGAAACTTTGGGAGTCTGAAGGCTGTTGTCTCAGTCATAAATGGCACTCTTGTATAAGAATTTCCTGTGAAGTAGCCACAGAAGTCACTTCACAATGTAAGAAATACATGTTTAAAGGCACCCTTTCTGCCTGAATTGTCTTAAGTCAGTGAAAGTATTTACAATCATGGTTGTTATCAGTCATTCTTGTTGACATTTCCCTCTTTATATTTATATTTCCTTAGCAGGAACGATAAAGGCTTTTCCTTCTTTATGTTGTTCAAGAACAAGGTCTATTGTTCCCTCTGCTGGCCAAATGTATACCAGCCAAATGTATACCAACCATCAATAAAACTTTATATAGCTTTGGTTCAAGACAGATGACTGCTTGGTATTATCCAGCTACAAAACTAGGCACACTGTGAACACCATGAAAGCATCTTTCAACTAAACATGCATAGGACCGTGCTGCATGGCTGCATAGTTAGCTAAGTAAGTGAAAATTAGTGCTGTGCTGAATTTTCATGAGCTTAGGGTCCCCCCCCCCCTTATTTTTTAATAATCTTTATTAGTTTCAGTTAAAAAAAAAGAAGTCTATATATACAACAGTATTCAATACAAAAGCTGGAACAAAGAAGAAGAAGAAGAAGAAGAAGAAGAAGAAGAAGAAGAAGAAGAAGAAGAAAGAAGAAAAATAAGGAAAAACAAGTACATAATTTTATACAAATCTTCTCTACGAATATAATAACAAATTGACCTTTATGTTCATACAAATACAATTTCATAAAAAGAAGGGGAAAAGGGGAACAAAGATTTCTATAAATAAACTTTAAAAAGACTTCCAAAATTTTCGTTTACTGTGTCTATTCTTTCCTTTATAACGTGCAGCCTCATATTACATTCAATTATCTTCATATGCCCTAACCTAACATAATATTATTTACACTTTTTGTTTTACAAGAATCAGACTAGTTCTGCCAAGAGAATTTCACTCTTATAATGATTTTTTAAGTATTCTTTAAATATTCTCCATTCCTTGTAGACTCTCTGTTTTGTGTCATTTCTTACTCTTCCTGATAACTTTGCCAACTGAAGGTATTCTATCATTAGAGCTTGGTTTTCAGTGTGAAAGTTGCTGTTTCATGAAGTATGAAAATGTTTGTGAAAACTGCTGCTTTATACTCTTTTATAGCTTTTTCATGCCTATTTGCGGCCATTGTTACCTTGATTTTGGACAGTTTTAAATGATTTGGAAAAGCTTCTTAACTGAGTCACTATAGCCAACCAATCAGTGAACATGCTAACATCACTGCTGCCATTTAAATGATCTGAAAGAGCTTCTTCCTTGCAAGATTCTAGCCAATCATGGGATCATAGATAACTTAGGGAACATTAGCATCACTGTTGCCATTGAACTAATCAGATTTGGCTACATGACAACATTGTTAAGGGCAAACTATGCCTTCTCGATTATCTTCAGTGGGAATCAGAGAGAAGAAGTAGTAGTAGTACTGTTCAGGAAACTTTGTGGATGCTACCAGTGTTGACACTCTTCTGCAATTTCAGTACTCCATAGCAAGAGTTATGCTCCATTGCAGTTCTAATAAAGAGCAGTTATGCATTCCAAGTTGGGGCAGAACATGGATGGGGGAGCCCGCTCAGATGGGCTTCAAAATACACATCTCATTGGGAAAAGGGAGCTGCAGGTAGGTAGCACCTGAATTCAATTGTCCCCCAGATGAAAATGTCACCTACTCTTGCTGTGCTACTTCCAAATGGGTGTGCATTTCCAAATGCAACTCTAAATGCACATATCCATTACTTTTCCTTCTTTATTGAGGAGTTACAGAAGTACTCACTCACACCCTGCTCTGTCTATCCAGTGATATCTCATCTGCAACATTAAGAAAGGAGGGTAGCCTTACCTTTGGTGGAAACAAGGATTTAAAACATGTAAATTCTAGGAGTGCTTCCAACAGTCTTATCATCAATCAATCTTTTTACAGTGGTACCTCTGGTTAATTTGTTCCGGAGGTCCGTTCTTAACCTGAAACTGTTCTTAACTTGAGGTACCACTTTAAGTAATGGGGCCTCCTGCTGCCACCACCGCCGTGCGATTTCTGTTCTCATCCTGAAGCAAAGTTCTTAACCTGAGGTACTATTTCTGGGTTAGTGGAGTCTGTAACCTGAAGTGTCTGTAACCTGAAGCGTCTGTTACCCGAGGTACCCCTGTATTATGGTCAATGGTCAGAATTCAGAGTATTATCAGCTGATCTTCTCCATGAATCTTGGAATGCCAAATTACCCGGTCTTGTTTCAGATACTAAACCTGATGTGTTAGGCAGCCTTCACCACTCATTTGTTTTATTGCTGGATTTTCCATCCATATAGTTAGATCTTTTACTTAACCTCATGCCCTTGTGGAAAATCAGATAGAGATGTCTTTGGCTTGGCACTCCTGGGGCAGCAGAGGGCAGCAGGATCTCTCAGCAGGTTTTCTGAATGGGAAGGGAATAGGGGAGGAAACAGGCTGTCGTCCCATTATGAGGACAGTTGCTCAGGAACTGACCTGGGAAGAATGTTTCAGTTGAGAGAATTTGCCCGAGGGCAATTAAGGACCAGCAACTGGTAAAATATATCCTGTACTTTTGTGAGCACAAGTGTACCAGTGACCCTGTGGGCTAAGGACAACCATTGGAAATATAATGATAGGCTGGAGAATTTCAGACGGCAGATTAAATTTGCTCAACTTGGCTGGGCCACCTAAACAAAACCAGCAGCCATGGTACCCTCAGATTAGGTTTTCGGCTGCAGTGCCATATTACACTTACTTACTTGGAAGTAAGCCCAATAGAGTGCAGCAGGGATAGCCTTCTAAGTATATATGCGCAAAGTCCAAACCAAGTGCAAGCCTTTTGAAACACACCACAATTGAATATCATGCTTACGGTTTAAAATAAAACTTAGGAATTTGGTGGAAGCATTTCTAAGCAAAATAATTTAGATGTTAGGCAGAAGGTGTCCAGGATTTCAGACCGCTGTGTTTTTGCATAAACATGGCATGAACTGGTAAATACGAGTCCTGCGTTTAACATTGCCAGTATGTCAGTGTCAACAATAATAAGCTGGATGCAGCAGTAGTCTGACTCTGTATGGTTCCTGGGTTTGATAGAAGGTTAATGGAAAGGAGGCAGAAAGACTGGCTGAGCCCACTTCTCCCAGAGGTGGTAAATCTATGCCTGAGCTATATGACTTCAGACTGCAGGAAGAGGCTCACACGCCCGAGTATTACAAATACAAAAACCTCCATGTTGACAATGGGTGGAAGATCCTGACCTAGTCTTTCCCTTACATGCTCATTTTCATCGCATAAGCCTCCATTTCCATTCTGAAGCCATACAGCCCAGAGTTACTACCTCAGTAAGTATGAGGCTAACGGAAGTCTATAAAGCTGTACTGACTGATGCCCTGATACAAATGTGGGGAATGTTTGACCCACAAGATGTTGCTGAACTACAACTCCCATCACCTCCAGCAAGTGTAGCCAATGAATTGTAGGCATGACAGGATTTGTAGTGCAGCACAGGTTCTCCACACCTGCCTTACTGAGACCTTACAAAACATAATAGATTCACCTAGCGCAAAATAATTTTAAGAAAAGAGTGGTGGACTGAACTATTCGGCCCGGCCTTTTCAGCATTTCATGAAGCTAGGGCAAACCTGCTCCTTAAGATCAATTGGGGGAGGGGAGTTATTTGGGGTGGAGTTCTTACCTTTTAAATAGAAACAGCTAAGGTTTTCTTTAGCTTGTTTACCTTCACAAAAACTTTTCTGCCCCTTCTAGATGTTTCCTGAACAGAACGACCCATAGGAAAGAACAGAGCAATGCCAGGGAAAGACTCAGAACCCTGTTAAACCCTGAATATCAAAGTAATGGGATACCCACAGAAGATTTTAGAATTTTGCCACACACACCCTCAGAAAAGTTGTCTAACGTATACTTTCTCTGGGGACAAATGATCCCTTAAAGGAGGATGTGGCTATTGGTCCCCAACTCCCTTCCCTAAATGGTCACAATGGGACTAAATGGTGGGAAAGCAAGCCTCGAAGGGGTAGGTTTGCAATATTTATATTTCTAGGTGGCTTACCTCCTTTATTTTAAGGTCTCTCGTTCCGCTCTCCATTGGACTAAGTCTTTCAGTTCACTGAGTTTAGTCAGCTGAAAAGCAGGTTGCAAACAGCGAGGTGGGGGCAGTAGCAATTGTGCATGAGAAGGTGCCAATTCCTTTCCTCCGGTTTTAAGGAGGCAGAAGCAAGATCCCCAATGCAAGTTCCTGGTATAACTATTCCTGCGCAAGTGGTATGCCCAAGCAAGTCTCTTTGGCCTCCCGTGGGAGGTGAACTGTCTCTTTAATGAGCTCAGTTATTGGACCACTTGCCGCATTCTCTGCCTGCCTACAAAGGGAGCAATGATGCATGAGTCATATTCGTGACAGTTTTATCCTGTTTATAACAACAGCTGACTGTATATTGGGCTCTAGCACAAAGCTGCTTCTACAAAAGTTGCTGGATTTATGTCATCAATCCCATTGTGATGAATTTGCTACTTACTTTGCACACAAAGAAACTTGTATTCGGTGCCTTTGGGGAAATGCAAGTTCAAGCGCAGGGGCAGGATCTCAGGTACACGTGGTTGAGATGGATGAAAACCAGCCAAGCTCTGGAGAAAGTCCGTTAATTGCTGGATAGGGTCTTACCAGTTGCGTCAGAAATGCAAGATGGCCTCACATCCTTGGTCAACTGTTTAAAATCTAATCTAGACACACCATCCAAGCAGAAATCATTGTTTCTTAGGGTCAAAATTACCAAGTAGCTCTGGGGTTGGGAGTGTCTTATCGTGTGTCTTTGCCTAACTGCCAATAGAGAAAAGTGAGAGGAAGTGGAGCCCATGTGGTCAGGTGGTTTCCAAACTGTTCTAGGTTTGCACTAGCAGCATCATGTAATGGGTCTGCAACATTGACCAATAGGAGGAGGAGGCACAAAACAGCCAATGTTTAGTGCACAGGTTGCCATCATGATCCCTATGGTCACACATGTTCCCCCAGAGACATTCCTTGACGCCACTTCTTTTCCTGGAAAGCTCAGCTGACCAGCTATTCAGCTTTGTTGAAGGTGAATTGGGGACAAGCAGAAACATGATCTATCTTGGCCATTTGAATCAGCCTTCATTAGCATAAAGAACTGAAACTTATTTTATTGTATTTTTTTTTCCTGGTTGGCTCTCCACAAGCCCTACTGATCGGTTCATATAAACAGAAAATGAGCCTTCTCTTCCCTAGTCCTGATGGGTTTAGATTTTAAGGGGTGGGGGCAGACACAAGTATCTCTTGCTTTCCTTCTTTCCAAGGTTTGAATATATATATATATATATATATATATATATATATATATATATTAGATGGTACAACTGGAGCGGCTCCAGAGCCTGGAAACCATATGGATGAAGCAATACTGGACATTTTGAAAGGGCTTAAAAACAAAGGGCACCTGGAAGCTGTATGCTGTTGGGTTCTGCATGATACCTAAGACCTTCGCCAAGGCGGGGGGAGGGGGTAGACTGCCTTAAGGAGTTTGAATTTTGCTTTCTTTTAATTCAAACTTCACTAAATCACATGTAGAGTTACATCTTTACTCTCTACCTATGCTTACAGAGTGTCTTGTACAACATGCTACAGTTAAGTGGATATTTTGGTTTTATTGAGAAACGGAACACCCCTAAGAAAAGAATTAATTATGAAGGAACAATTAGCAAAAGCCTGTTTGGGCAGCTGGTAGTTATCATTCTATTTTTTAGGACCCACCTAAAACTGTTTTTAATATTGTGTAGTATTGTTTCAATATTATCATTGTGTCCACCCTGGGACCTTAGGGTGAAGGGCTGGTAGTAAGTTGTAATAATCATAATGGGGGGGGGGGTTTGAAATAAACCAGGGAATTAACTGAGATTGTAAGTCTCATAGGATTGTGAAAACCTCTGCTTGACCACAGGTCTTTCACATCTACTTTAATTTTTAAGTATATTTACATATTTTGTTCCAATACTTTACAGCTTTGAGTACCTTCAGGGTTTCTCGTGGTTTCCCAAGGGTCCTTCAGTCTGGGATACTGCTGTTGCAGCATCTCTTGCCAGCAAAATAAGTATAGAAATGTATACCAGTTCTGGTCTGACCATCAAGCTGGTTCAGCCACTGGAGTTTCCTGGTACTTGGGAAGTGGGGTTGGTCAAGATGCACTTGGTAAATTGGTAAAGATACAAGAGACTTCACTGTACTATCACTGAAATTGTTATTGAGCGGGGAAAGTGGTCATCCTTTCTTCAGTAGCATAGTGGCAAATTCTAAGATTATACGATACTCTTAAAACTATTCAATAATAATAATAATAATTTGGGTTGTACTGCAACTTTCACTGCCGACATCTCTGTGTTGCCTTTCAGCTAGATCTACTCTTTTCAGTGTACATACATGGGCAAATGATTTGGCATGATCCAATATCATCTTTCAGAGTGACTTAAGTTGTGTTTTCCATGAAATTCCATTGTATGGAACAAAACTGGTATATCTTTTCAAACTGAAGCACCTTATGTTTTTAGTTGTCCCAAATGCTTAGCTTTGGAGCATACAGTAGCTTAAAAGCTCTCCTTTCATGCTAATTGGAAGGACCTTGCTGCAGAAATAGTAATAGGTCTTTGACACCCCCAGTGACCCCAGACCACCACCCCATGGCCTTTCTGCACTGATATTATTATCCAAGCATTTCTGACTTGGTGCACAGCGTGGATCTGATTAGCTTCATCCTTTATGCAGCTCTACTGGGAATTATTTCATACCATGTTCCTGTGATGAGACAGGTTAAGCATAAACTAACCAATACTCCTCATCTTTTTAGTTAATGCAGATCTAGTTTCCTTATTAAGGGCCAAATTAGATGTGACATTAAATATATATTTGTGTTTAATATGCAGATTGCTCCTGGAAGTGAGAGGGTGATAATTATGGGGATTGTAACAGGTGATCCTCTGTTGTGATGCTGACAAACATGGCTTCTTTGAAGCTCAGATATACACTGGAAATAAATGCCCCCAATGGCACCCTTAAGCCACTTCCAAAAATAGCATTTGCAATGCTGCCAATCATGTGCTAGAGTATGCTTTGAGGAAAGGGAGGCTGTCTGGGCTGCAGGAAGGGTATATCTAATGCACATTAAAGAAGAAAGGGGGTTAAGAAAAGAAAAACTACAATCTTAACCCTACAAAAAATTAGATTGCAGCATCTACAATGTACAACTGTAACATCTACAGTTTCAGGTATAACTGTGCACTGTGGTTTCTTGGATGCCTGCACCCTAGTCTGTCTTCCTCCTGAATTGCTCCCTCTCTCACAATAAGAACATAAGAAAAGCTTGCTGGATCAGGCCCACGGCTCGCCTAGTCTGGCATCCTGCTCTCACAGTGGCAACCCGGATGCCTATGGGAAACCCACAAGCAGGACTTCAGCACAAGGGCACTCTCCCCTCTTGTGGATCCCATGACTGCCTCTGATCATGGGGGCAGGGCATAGCCATCATGGCTAGTAGCTGCCATTAGCTTTTTATCATCCAAGCATTTATCCAACCTTCTTCTAAAGCTGTCCATGTTGGTGTGGTCACTACTGCCTCCTCCTCCTCCACTACTGAGCAAGTTCCAAAGTGTGTGAAGAAGTACTTCCTCCTCCTCCCTTTTTAATCTCCCCTGAATCTTCCAGCATTTGGCTTCACTGGATGGCCACAAGTTTTAGCATTATGAAAGAGGCAGAAAAACTTTTCTCCATCCAACTTTCTCCATTCAGTGCATGATTTTATAAACTTCTGTCATGCCACCTCTTACGCACCTCTTTTCTAAGTAAAGAATCCCAAACAACTGCAACATTTCCTCACCGGATCTGTATATATTTCCTCATAATATCTATCCGATTTGCCTGTTCCATCTCGGCATCAAATCCAATGTCCCTCAAGAGCATGCAATGAGGGAGTCTAAATGACTGCTTCTCTTTCCCAAAGTGTGAGCATCTTCTCTTTGGATTGACTTTTGGTGGCTAGGCTGACTTGGGTTCATTTTAATTTCATATAGGCACTTAAAATATTACATTTTAAAGTCTCGTTACATGTTTGAAGACCCTAGTTAGGTGTCTTGGGGATGAGATTTGGAAACCTAAATAAATATCAAGGACTATGTGGCTGAGGCCTAACTCACCCCTGTTGGCCTGGTCTTGCCCTGTGGAGCATCGTTCTCCCAAGATCAGAAACAAGCAATAATACAAGGTTGGGAGGAAGACCTCATATAGCTGGAGGAAATGTGGCCTCCAGCACCACAGGATCATGGCAGAAGGAGGCAAATTCTACAGCTGCAGCCAATGGGGCTTTAAAATGAGTCCTGGGTGGAGCTGTGAGGGCAGGGAGAACAGATCAACTGCTCAGTGGCATAGCAGTGGCCCTGCGTGCAGAAGGTGCCAGGTTCAATCCCAGATAAGGCTGTGTGAAATCCTAGAGAGCTGTTGCCACTCACTGAAGACAATGCCAATGGCCTGACTTGATGAAAGACAACTTCCTGTGTTCCTCAAATGGGAATAGGCTGCCAAGCCACAAGGAGATAACTAGACTAAGGCCCCTCGTTCCTGGAAGTTTGGCAGCTAGGGTTCAGACTGGGAAGCCAGCCAGGAAGCCCTTGGTCAGAAGGCAAGGCTCCACTGAGTGAGCTAACCAGTACTTAAGTGGGGAGATAGTAGCAACATGGATGGGTTAGCATGGGGAAGCGGAGGCCTTGGAGAGAGGGAGCATAAAGCCAGTGCTTGGGGAAAATATTCTCCAGAGAAGCCACTGGTTACTGACAAGGCAGGACTTTGGGGCCAATGTCCAGATCCCCACTGTGCAGGAAGAGTAGGAGCACCCCCAAGTGCAGCTGGACTGGCTTGCCACATTTTGCCATCTGTAACACTAGTAGGTCCAAAGTCTAAAACTACTCAGTTGCATCACTGCTCTGCTTGGGCTTTTCTATGCCTACAAGGGTTGCCATCGTGGTGCCCCCTAGATGTTGTGGACTCCAACTCTCATCAGCCCCAGCCGGTATGGCCAATGATCAGAGATGAAGGGAATTGTAGTCTGAAAAATCTGGAGGTCACCACAATGGCTACCCCATGACAGGTGAACATGGCAGGACAAAAAACTGGCAGGATAGGGTAGACCTGTCATGAACTGGCAGGACAACAGAAAAGAGGAAGAGAATCCTGGCGAGGGCTGTAGCCAGGAGTGGGACACACTGGGTGAGTTAGGGATGGGGAGGGAGAGGTTGGTGCAGAAAGTACTCATGGGGTGATGGGGGATTGAGTGGGGGTCAGTGCAGCAAGACCCATCACCAGAGCAAGAGGGGCCCCTGTTTCCTTGAACACAGTGGGCTCTGGGGTGTAGGGAGCAATGGAAGTGGCACTCTGGGAGACTGAGGCAGGCAAGGGTCTACAGCTGGCCAGGTGGGGCTTGCTAGCTCCAGGAGGAGATGTGTGATTCCTCAGCTGGAGTAGGCTTGGAGCAGGTGAGAGTCACATGCCTCATCAAGCCCAGATGCTGCAATCAGCAGGCAAGGGAAAGCAGAGCTGAGGTGCTATGACTGCTCAACTGCCCATGTTGATGGATCTCAGCTTGGATGCTCCAGGATCTCCATGGGACTGTGCTTTGGTTTGGACTTTGGACACATAGATTGATCCTGGAGTGGGGACTTGACATGCTCACTTGCTGCCAGGTAGGCCAGGGTTCAGGACAAGACCTGTGTCATGAAATCTGAAGATGGGCAGAAGGAA